ATCACTTGTTCAGCAATAGAGAGTCTCTGGGTGACTCAGCACCAGCTGTGATGGGGGGACAGTCCCAATACATCATGCGCCAGCCTCCCTCTCAGGCTTGCAGTGAGCTTCTCACAATTAGCTGCCGTGTGCCCTGGGGCCGTGCTCACCACCAAAAATCCTCACAGGTTGCTCTGGGCTGTCCGCTGCTGCAAAAACCCTCTGTGGACTGCTGAGGTGGGGACCAGGGTGGGTTAATGCAGCTCAAGGTGGGTGGGGCAGGCCCCCAAGGCACCATAGGGTGTGGTCAGTGGCCCCCACCAAATCAGAGCAGCGTGCACTCCTGCACTGGCAATCTGCCTGCACAAATACTCCACGAATGCCCCGGCCAGATCATGCAGGCGCACAGATCACGCCTCAACACTCTCAGGAAAACTCCCAGTCTCAGCCTATCCCAATCAGCCGCTCACAGATCAGGCCGCCAGGCAATACCTGGCTACACAGCACAAGCAGTGCAGGGAGCGAGGACCCAAGGCCATATGCGCGTGCGCACGCATGCCTGCGTGAATTTCACCAGACCAATGCGGGTCCCGGACCTGACCCTCTGTGGGAGGGCCCAACTCTGAAAAAATGGCGCCCTCCTGTACATTACTCTGTGCAAGCCCCACACCAGGAGAACAATGGTCCCAAAACCTCCAGCTCCCATGCCAAAGGTGCTCAGTTCAGTTCTTCCCTGCAGGCTCTTGGGCCCAGCTCATGCAGCCACTTCCTCTGCCAGGGACCAGGTTAGTGCTCACCAGCAAGTGAGTCCGTGTGCTGACTCTACAGGAGGGCGACTGCTTCTCGAGCCACCCTCCGCCTCACCGAGTTGAGCAAAGAGAGTCTCACTAATTTCTACTGCCAGCTATCGTGGAACTCCTCTCCCCAGCAAGGTAACTCTGGGCTGGGGAGCTCGGTGTGGGCTGGCGGGTCTCTCCCCCAACTGGAGAAGCCTCCCCACAGCTGAGGTTTCCCTCATGGGGTTCACCGTCTCTCGTGTCCGCCCCCCTTACCAGACTGGACATGGCCTCTTCTTTAAATCCTTTGTTTAGAGGTTCTGTTCATCTAGTGTTCAGGGCCTTGCGAGGTTGAATGTTGTATAAATTATTTGTAATTTTGGTGTGATCCTGGGAGGCAGTTGGCACAGCATCTGTCTACTCCACCATCTTACCAGAAGTCTCACATAGTAGATCTACTTTTTTTTCAGGAAACTGTAGTTTTTCATAGTGCTTGGACCAATTTATGTTACCAACAATGTATGAAGGTTTCCTTCTCACATCCTCACCAGCACCTGCTGTCTTCTTGACGATAGTCATTCTGACAGGTGTGAAGTGCTGTCTCATTGTGGTTTTGAGTTGCATTTTCCTGATTAGCAATGATGAGCATCTTTTCGTTTGCCTGTTGGCCATTCTGATGTCCTCTTTGGAAAAATGTTTAGTTCTTCTGCCCATTTTTTAAATTGTATATATATTTTTAAGTTGTATGCATTCTATATATATATTTTGATATTAACCCTTTATATTCGATGTGGTTTGCAAAAATTTTCTCCCATTCTGCAGGTTGTCTTTTCATTTTGTTAATGATGTCTTTTACGTGCAGAAGCTTTTGAGTTTGATCTAGTCCTATTTGTTGATTTTTGCTTTTATCATAGGTGCCTTTGGTGTCATCTAAAAAATCACTGCCAAGACCAACATCGATGAACTTCTTCCCTACATTTTTATATAGGAGTTTTATGGTATCAGGTCTTATGTTTAAGTCTGATCCATTTTCAGTGAATTTTTGTGAGTGGTGTGAGATAGGGGTCTAATTTCACTGTTCTGCATGTGTGTCTCCAGTTTCCCCCGCACTATGTGTTGAACCGACTGTCCTTTCCCCTTTGAGTGGATTTGGTTCTCTTGTCAAAAATTAGCTGACTGTATATGCTGGGATTTAATTCTGGGCTCTCTATTCTGTCCCATTTGTTGACATGTCTATTATTGTTCTAATACCATACTGTTTTATTAATTACTGTGGCTTCGTAGTATAGTTTGAAATACGGAAGTGTGATTCTTCCAGCATTGTTCTTTTTTCTCAGGATTGCTTTGGCTATTTGGGGGTCTTTTGTGGTTTCCCACAAATTCTAGGATTGTTCTACTTCTGTGAAGAACATTGATATTTTGATGGGGATTGTGTTGAAGCCATAGATGGCTTTGGGTAGTATGGCCATTTAACAATATTAATTCTTCTGATCCATGAACATGTGATGTCTTTCCATTTGTTTGTCTTCTTTAGTTTCAGCAAAGTCTTGGAGTTTTCACCTTCTTGGTTAACTTTATTGCTAGGTATTTTAGTTTTTTTTTTATGCTAATGCAAATGGGTTTCTACACACACACACACACACACACACACACACAAATACTAGAACAACTGAATGAATTTAGCAAGGTTGTAGGTTACAAACTCAAAAGTACAAAAAATAATTGCATTTCTAGTAATGAGTAATTGGAAAGTAAAAACAGTTCCACTTACCATAGCATCAAAACCCATCAACATTTTAAGTTTATTAACAGAGGGTTGCCAGATGTCTACCCTGAAGCTACAAAACATTCTTGAGAGATTAAAGACCTAAAATAGAGATATACCATGCTCATGGATTAGAAGACTGAATATTAAGATATCAGTTCTTTCCAAATTGATCTAGATTCAGGGCAATCAAAATCAGATCAGCATTTTTTTTTTGAAATTGATCAGCTGATTTCAAAATTTATATGGAAATGCAAAAGGCCTAAGGTAGTCAAACAATCTTGACAACAGAGTTAGAATTTATGCTACCTGGTTTCAAATCTAAGTATAAAGCTATACTAATCAAGAAGTGGGCTACTGGTGTAAGTATAAATGAACCAAAAAGAGTCCAGAAATAGACCCACACTTATATAGTCAATTAATTTTAAACAGAGGCACCAAATGAATTAAATGGAGATGGAGAATATTGTCAACAAATGAAGCTAAACCAAACAGATAATCCTTATGGGAGTTAGGAAGAAAAAATATCCTCAATCCTGGCCTCACATCATACACACAAATGAGTTTGAGATGGATCACAGACTTAAATATAAAGGTTAAGACTATAATGCTTTCAAAAAAAACATAGGAAAGTATCTTCATGACCTTGGGGTTGACAAAGATATTTTAGACAAGATAAAAACCACATTACCATAAAGGAAAAAAAAACTGGACTACATCAAAGCAAAGTACCACTGCTCCCCTAAGTCACCATGAAGAAAGTGTACAGGTAAACCACAGACTGGGGGGGAAAGCTAGCAATACATACAACTGACAAAAGACTTATGTCCTTAGATAAAGGATTTCAACCATTCTGTAATAAGAAAGCAGCCTAATTAAAAAACGGCCAGAGACGTGAACAGATATTTCAGAAAAAAAGGACAAATTGCCAGTAAGCGTACAAAAAGGAGTTAAACATAATGTCATCATGCAAACTAAAGTCATGAGATAGAACTAGACTCTCAGTTGCATACAAATGCACATAAAATGGCACATATAATCACTTTGGAGAATTTTTTGGCAGTTTTTTATAAAATGAAGCAAACCTATCTTATGACCCTGCAATTCTACTAGTTATTTCATAAGAGGAATGAAAACATGTCCATAAAGCATGTTCAGAACAACTTTATTATATAATAACCCAGGTTATTTAGTTAACAAGGGAAAGGATAAATTGTAGGATGTTCATGAAACTGAACACTACTGAGTAGCAAAAAAAAAACAAATTATGGATATATGTAACAACATAGATGAACCTCACAGACATTTTGAGCAACAAAGCCAGATGCAAAAGTGAACACGTTGAATAATTCCATTTTTTTGAAATTCAAGAACAGGTAAAACTTACCTATGAAACAGGAAACAAAAGAATGGTTGCCAAGGGCAGGAAGGAAATGCACTGGGCAGTGGCACAAGGGGACTTCCTGGGCAGGAAAGGTCCTTTATTGGCATTGGAGCAGGGATTACACAGACGTGCAGATTTGTCAAGAGTGACAGAATATACTCCTGCATTCTGTGGGTTTTGCTGTCTACAAGTTTTAATCGAATACAAACATTTTACCTTAAAAAATTATATTAAAAAGTCTGATTTATCAGAGGGCCCTCTGCCATGTCCAAAAAGAGTTGTTCAGACACATGTCGACTTATCTCCACTTACAGTAGCTTTGTTCTTTGAATCAGTTAGCACTTGAAAATAAAACAAATTGTTTTTGAATTCACTAAATTTTCTGGTCAAATGCTGCTCAAAACTTTTTTTGTCTTAAGTTTCTTATCCATTAAAAACATGATTTGTCATATTGTGCAATCGTTAAAAACTGAAGTTATCCTAAAGACCATCTAAACCCTCAACTCCTTTTAAAATAAAAACAGATGCTTAGATAAACTGACTTGTCCAGGATCATATTATTTCATTTCAGAAAGCAAAATACATTATACATCCTACATTGTCATCCTTTGCAAATACTAACAGTTGGGCAAAGACAACAGCTAACCTTTTTAATAAAAGTAGGTTAAACAATTGTGTGTTTTAACTGGCAACTGAGGAAGGATTAGGAATAATGATTGTCATTGGAACACTTATATATAAATACACATTATAGCAGTTATATTTTAAAGAAAGCATATGTTTTCAGTGGACCAAGGAATTTCTAAACTCACACTGGCTGGCCATTCATGAATGATCCAATTTCTAGTTGAAGTGTGTTAGTCTTTACGTTGATTCATTTCTATCAGACCCCTTTTCAGGAGCTGTACTGATGATGTATAAAAGCTGTATAACCCAAAAACTTCTAGATTTTTAAAAAGTGCAGTCAGTGAAAGGCATAATAGTATTCCTGTATTATAATGGGGGATAATGTAGTAAAATTTCACTTGCAATAAATTTGGCAGTGCTGGTTGTGATGAGCAGAGAGGCTTAACATGCTTAAATGATTGAAAAACACTTTTAATTATATAGGAAAATTTTTATTTGATAAATATAATTTCATAAACTTTAAAAAATTACTGAGAACTGTACAATAAGTATACTAAATTTACTGAAAATTCAGAAAAAATTTAAAGGATTGTATTAGACAGCCACAGTATCTAAGGTCCAGTATTTTAAACTAAGTGTTGCTACAGTATTTCCAGCTACTAATTCCTTATAAAAATCTAACAATCGCCATTATTACAAACATATCATTAGTTATGATCTATTTTTTTGTAGGAACATCATTCAAGTTATCTCACATAAACAAATTGTTAATAATGTCTTATTTTCATAATTGATGACTAATTTCAAGACAGAAATGAAAATGTCTCTAAAAGGGGACCAAAATTAATAAAACATTTTTTATATCAGTCTTTGGTGTGTTAGTTTTATCAATACCTGCTTATATAATACTCCAAATTGATCTTTATAGGAAAAACAAACACATGGATAATTTTCTTTTTCCCCACACTCCAATAACTTTTCAGAATAGCATATTTTCAAACTTTTGGTATTATTTTAAAATTTTTTACTGGCTTTGACTCCTGACTACCAGAGGGGTCTCAAGTTTCTCATACAACCCGATTTCACAGTCTCATGCAGCAGAAACGAGCCTGGGCTAAGGTATTTCCAAATAGGGCGATGTGCCTGTTTAAATTTCCTACTCAGGACAGGGCCAGAGTTCGGAAGAGGTCCAGAAGCCTTTGGACATCATGGATTTAAGCTCCAAGGAGGAGGGTATTTGAGATAAATTCAAACTGTAAATTCTCTCCCTTTGTCTTCTCAATCCCACGGCAGGCCTGGGTAACTGCAGTTCTCCTGGCCCACACTCCACTCCGCCTAGGGGGAGCCTCATGTTTGCTAAAGCTGAGGCAGGGTGCTGAGTCACCTAAAGCAGCTGACGGGCAATTCTGGAGATGGATTTGGTGCAGTATTGCTACTATCTTCAGGGCTACAGCCTTCAGACTAGGCCAAGGCAAGCAAGTGAGGCATAGATGTGAGACCATTAACTAGCAATAATACATGTAGCATCTTACTCTGGTTTTGGCAGGTAAGAGTAAGTTCATTTCCAACATCATACTTTCCAAAGAATTTTAAAGAATGTGCAGAGGGGAAATTTTCTGTGATTACTGGTTATGTAGTAATAGTTTCACAGTATGAATATCACCATTAGAAAACTACTGAAAGCTTATAGACAACACTGGTGCTTTCTTAAATAAATAGAAAAAAAATCACGTTTCTTACAATTACAAGATAATCTTCCTTTAAGTGGAATAGGTTTTGAACAACAGAGTAGGATGACCATTATCAGTGGATGCATTTACTTTTTCTATATAAAGTTCTTAAATAAGTTCAAATAGTGAATGCAAAAAAGACACCAGTCACACCTTAAGCACCACACGTATGTTAGCTGATCTTCCTGCTTTCTGCAGTTGGTCAGAGACTGCTCGATGGCTTTGTAGTCCTGTAGTGTCAGTCCTCAGTTTAGCTGATGGCAAATAAACACTGTAGGTAGAGGTAATGCAGGCCTCCTGACTGTCATTTCCTTATATGGACATTTAATAAGACATTCTGAGAAAAGCAAATTATCTGCCACTAAACTACTGAATATTTTCTGCACTATGTCATCTTTTGGAAGATGAATTGGTGAGTGTATACACTGTAGTTTATTATCCCTTTAATGTATTTCCAGAATAACAGTTTCTTCCTAAACCTAATTTTGGAATATCTAAATTAAAGAAGGGCTATTTATGAAAATTAATATTTAGGCTAAAATTCATAACCTAATATCCTTACATTGAAACAGACAAATGTTAGGAAGAAAATAGTTTTACCAGTGAACAAGGTTAAAATCTTAATTCTTGACTCTAACATACTTTCCCTATCAGCCCAATTCAAGAAGTCTTATATTCATGAAATGGGGAAGGGGTGGAGGGTTACACAGTAAGTCTACAAAAAGGAATCATGCTCTCAAGGGAAAAATTTGGGAAAACCGTATTTAACCATTTCCATATAGTTTAAAATGTCTATGTACACAATCATTATGTGCTTAGAGATGGGCAATAGTTGTAAACCAACAATCATTTCCAAACTTTAAAACAACATTACTGTTGATCAAAACAAGTAACAACAATGGATCTACATGATATACTCAGGATGGAAATTGAGTTTCGAAGTGTAGTGAGTTAATACAGTAATACGTACCTGATTAATCATTCTTAGCATTTTAATTTATTGCTGCTATTTCCTCATAAAATTTAGCATTTTAGACTTTGTTTCATTGATATTCTATAGCCACACCTGAAAATACACCTTATAATGGAACCCTGGACAGATTTCACTTTACTGTGGTCGTCCACTATAACTTAGATACGTATACTAACCTAAAGATAACAGGATTCTTATATGAAATCATTTTTTCTAAAATCAAGCTTACTGAAAGGCAAGAGCAATTCTAAGCCACAGAAAGAGGCTCTTCATTTTTTATTGATTTAATTACTACAGTATTTTGATTTGTATAATTAAAAGTATTTGCAATATTTAAATACTGTCCAAACTTGTTTTATTGATATAGTTGAACTTTACAACAGTGTCATAAAATATATAAACAGAGCCTTCAGATGGAGGGAAAAAAAGCAAATTTAAATATATTAACCGTATTAAAGCATGCAAAAGATCCAATGATAAACACATTAAATCATAATATGCTAATGATACCTAATTTACCCACTTCATATTCTGACATAAAAATATTAGTAAACATTAATTTGAAATTTGTTGAATGGACTTGATTCTTCATTTACTACACGTGTAAGATATGATATACCCTTTGTATGTATATGGTTACTGGTTGTGTTATGGTTCATTTAGAGAAGTTTGGAATTGGTATATATTTACTACCCACAGTGCAGTAAATAATGGTTAGAAACGCATTGTCTTAATTTTCTCTATGAATTTAGAAAGCACTAATGAATTAACAACATGTGTCACTGAGGGACCAAAATTCCTTACTATTCACACTTTTCCCATGAAAAGCTTCAAATATAACTCTAATAAAAAAATAGAGTTTTCAAGGCAAACTTTTCAGCATAATTTACAGAAGCAGATTTAAATAGAAGACTCAATAACTAAGCTAATACTAAAAAATACAATTAACTAGGGATTATCTCTCTTTTCTGCCTTGATGTTAAAATATAGTGGCCTTAGCAAGAGTCTGAAATGCCATTTGGAGTCCCACAAGCACAGGAACAACCCAGACAAGACATGAAAAGTGTCTATTTATTCACAAAATTTTAACATGTTCAGATTCAAATTATGGGGGTTGAGAGTGGTTCATGTTAATGCTTTTTTTGTTTGTCTGCCATTATAACTCTGAGTGGGTATGAATGACTCCAGAGGTTTCAGAAAGAACTCTTCAATCCTGGCCATTACCAGGATGCTCAACTGAATTTTAGAAAAGGGTTGAAATGGCTCCCACAAAGTACTACTGCCCTTTTAACAAGTAGATGAGTCCATTGTGGAGAGAGTCAAGATGCTCCTGTCGTTGGTATAGAAAGGATCCAATGCACTCCAGGATCTAAAATAACAATAAGAGAAAAGTTTGGCTCACCAGGAGCTATGTTTTAATTAAGAAAAAAAATTTACTCTAAAACTTAGGAACAAAATGCAATTTGAGTATTAAAACAATCATTGATTGATTCATTTTTAAATGCTAAAGAGAAGTTCTTCATACTAGCATCGAATGACCAAACATTCCATTTATATTACACAAAACTTAGGAAAAATAATACTCAGCATATAAAATATTAGCCAAAATTCAAACACTCATTAGCATTAAAACAATTTCTATAGGTGGGAAAGCATGAGATGCTCTTAAAATCTTAATTCAATAAAAAATAAGTATGTTATTAAGTTATGCACATTCAGTTTTACTGAAAAGCAGCTAGGCTATATTTTGGCATCACAGAAGCAAGCAAACAAAAATCAGTTACCAAAAGCTTTGGTATGCAATAGCAGTATGTTCATATATTATTATTTCTTTTTATCTATAAATGCTATTTTAAAGATTTTAGCATAATTAGCTTGAATGTAGTGAATGCTTTATTCAACTGATATCAAAGATACCTGTAAGTCACTAGGTTTTTCACTTAACTAAGAACAAATGATCCTCTACTGGTCTGGAAAAGTTAGCTACTTTCTGAATGATAAAACCCGTAGCAATTCATTACATAATACTTAATTTGCAGCTGTATTAAGCTAAAATAACTCAAGATCAAAAACAGCCTGCCATGCTTAAAACAGGCTACCCTATTTCAAGGACAATATTAGAATTACCAAGTCAAAGGTAGCTTTTCTTAGAAGATTAAAAGCACTTAACAAGAAATATATTTTATGTAATTTTCCAGGGTTTCCACTTTCCTTAAACATAGATGTTAGAGGAAGAGCTAGCATTTAAAATGATCCAAATTCACTTTTATCGAATATCTGCTGTTTCCTAGAGACTCTGTTTGTATATAGTTCATATTCAAATCGATTAAATGAGCACAGTCATAATGAAGTTTGGGACTTGGAAAGTTTACCAAGTTGACAAAGATGAAGACGAATAAGCAACAACTCTACCAGTGGTTTACAGAATTTACTAGTTCCAGAAAACCTTAAACAATATCCGCCTTAGTTTAAGGAAAAGCTTATTCACTACCATCTCTCTGGCACCTACAGCTGGACCTGGTACATAGCAGGCACTCAGTATTTGTAAAATATATGAACATAAATCACCATCTGCCCCTGCCCCTCTGTAACCCGTCATGCACACTAGTACAATGCTGCTCTGACTTCAGGAATATGATCTCATTTACCTAAAGAACACTACAGTGTGAAAAGTTAAATATCCTCTAAATAGTAACATCCCCTAAATAAGATTATGTCTCTTGGGGAAATGATTGAAGAAATGAATCCATTTCACATTTAAATAAATTTAAGTGGAATTTACCAAAAAATTATATTGTTTTGCATGATCCACAAAATCAAGCACTGATAAATCTCTTAAGAAATAGATTTGGGAAGGGACAAAAATGGTAAGATTCTTTTAAATCATAATTTAAAGAGCCTGTTCTAACTTATAAACTTTAATTAGACCATAAATATCAAGTAAAAACTTAAAAACCACAACTCATTTTAAACCCTCATTACAGAGATAAAAAGGGGTAGTAGAGCAGCAATACAGCCTGTATGTTTATAAATACCTTAAAATCGCAAATGACTGACTAGGAAACATACATGAAGAATAAGAAAAGCAAAATCTTTTTATTTTACTATTATAGGTAGATTATTTTGTAAAGACAAAAAAAGAGAAAAAGAAATACAGGAAGTAAAACAGTAGTATAATGAAAAAAAGAAAGTTATAAAAACCAAATAAGAGGACCATATATACACTCCTATTCACATTTTAGAAATATTGTAAAGCAAAATTTTTGTTCATTATATGCAAAGTCTCTTCAAAGGTGCTTTCTCTTCCTGTTACTGAAAGAACCCCTTACCCCAAAGCCAGAAAGGGAAATCTAACATCAAAGAGTGCTAATAATTATCACACTTCCTGCTTCAGTTGGTAAAAACCAGCTGCTGATTCCTTAAAAAACCAGCTGCTGATTCCTTAGGTATCTAGAGACGCATGCTCATCTACTCCAGTTTACAGGATACTCATCTGCAGCAAAGGCTACTTAGAGAAATTTCACACCTGCTGACATGGGCCGGACTACATCTTCCTATTACTCGTTCCAGCATTCTTCCAACAGATGTGCACGCTGCTTCTCCTGAGAAACAGCACATGGAGTCCAAGCACTTGATACTTGAATTTGTTTCAGTAAGCTAGAGAAGTTGAAGTAGAAAAAATTAGTTATTTATTGGACTTCCAGAAAGCATTTAAAAAAATATATAATGAACACTTTAAAACTAAAAGTAATGTATATAAATGTTTTCTATAATATGGAAATGTATGGAAGACTTAAGAGTAATCATACAAAAATATTTAAAAGGCCCTGTGTCTCAAATTAGAGGTCAAGTAAAATAATTATATAAAAACAAGCAGCTGGATATTATTTAAATCTGAAAAGATTTTGGATTTTAATGTCTTATTTTAATAATTTATTATGGTCAAAGTGATTTACACCAACTGCTCAGAAACTTAATGAATTCTAATTTTTGAGGTTTTGTGCAGGTAAAATGTTCCTGCAATTTCAATTAAAAATGTCTAGCAATTAAGAAAAATGGAGTATGAACTATTTTGAAGACTGGAAAATAACCAAGCAGGGCCTAACCCCAATCTTCAACAACAACAACTACAATAATCATAACCACAACAATAGTAGCAGAGACTTTATGTAGTGCCTCTATGTGCCAGGTATGAAGTACTCTACATATACCCACTCATAATTATAATGGAAAAAAAGCGAATTGCTGAGCAATATTAAGTGCCGACCATGCCTAAAATCAGATCATCTTACTTTTTAAAAATTAACTGATGGAACATCTATTAAAATAGATCAAAGTGACTAAGTAGTACTATTAAGATTTAAAAGTGAATTTCTGAAAGTATGCAAGATTTATATTGATTCAGACATAAATAATCCAGCAAGATAACTTTAAGCCACGCTTTTAATAATTTTAGTCCTGTTAAATTGGGGAGAAAAATGGTATGGCCACATAGCTCAATGAGTCCCAACCCTGGTTTTGATACTCAAGGGTATTTCTAAATTTCTCAAGATTTGTCATTTTAAACACTTATTTTCATTCACTTTCCTTTAGATATATAACATACTGCATAACAAATCTTTCAAAAATATAGAGGAAAGAGAACAACAAACAAATTCATTAGTTTTGCAATTCACAAAGGTTGGGAATCACCAAGTGTTGAATACAGGCATGGCAACAGGGGACACTTGTGGACATGCTCACAGTGGGCAGAAGAGATGGATGTGATGGAATGTAAATAACCTGGCATTCTGAACCTGAGCAACTGGGGAGGTCCTGCAAAATCCCTGCTCAGAGTACTCCTGTCAGATACCAAGCAGTGCAAGACAACATGGTTCCTGTCTGGCGATGACCTGATTGCACCAATGTCCTAGGACCTGATAAGCACTGAGAAATAGCCATTTTTTTTACCTGTTCTTTCTTTATACCCTTGGTTTAGGATGTTACAGTACTGTTTCTGAAACTATTTTGTGAGATGTTTACAGACATTTCACGAAAAACAGTTCTGTAGTGTGGCCAATTAAGTTTGGAAAACACTGGTTCAGTGAAGGTCTAAACACATTTTGAGTAAAGGATTGTCACATCCGGATGCATGGTCAGTCTCCAAGGGGAGAGCTAGACACAGTGCAATTCTCAAACTTGTTTTGTCAGTAACAGGCCCCTACCACAACAGAACATTAATCCACATCAGGAGGAATGTGTCAGGGCCTGTAACCAATTAGGGTCAGAATGCTGACCCCTACACACCAAGTTCAGTTTAAATACCATTATCTCCATGAAACTTCCCCTACTCCTCCAACTATCAGTAATCTTTTTCTGGATTCTGTTCTGCTGCTTGCATCACTTAAATGGCACAAGCACTTAAATTCAACTAAAATTTCTTGAGCAAGGCATGTGCTGGTTCCTATTGGGAATAGCAACCCTACCCTCAATCTAGTGAGTGAAGAGTAAAGAAAAAGTGTGGGAGATAGTCAGGAACAAATAATAATGGAAAGTATATTAACGGAATGTTTATTATGTATGTGTCAGTTCCTATGTAAGATGCTTCTTATGGATTATCTCACTTAAAACTTGTAACAGCCTTTTTGGATAGGCACCATACTCATATACATTTCACAGATGAGGAAACAGAGAGGTTAAGAATTTGTTTAAGGTCACCCAGCTGGGGCTTGACTCTTAGTTTGATTCCAGAGCCCAAACTTCTTTACCATGCCATTATACTGCCTTCTTATAATCATGGTATGAGGCAGACTACAAATACCAGAAAGAGCAGGGGAAGTTCAAACCCAGCTGTCGTACTGGTGGGAGGGTATGAAATATCTGAAGAAAAAGATGGCATTTGTAATACATCTTGAAGACTGGATGGGAATTCAATAGCTGGAGATGGGGGAGAAAGAGCATTCCAGGCTAAGTGAAAAGCATGAGTAATAATTGTGTGTTGGCAGAAAAGCATGATGTTTATTCATCAATTTAGCCTAAGTGTAAGAGAGAGTAGTTGTTACTCTGGCCCCCTTGCAAAAAGACCAGTGTGACCCAAAGCGTGATCCGTGGATCAGTGTTGGTCCAAAAACACTGCTGATGGCTCGTGAGGAGATAAGTGTTTCTAGGCTGTGAGAGTAAGAGACTAGAAAATGTTATGGCAATTTGACAGAATACCTTTGTTAACGGTTGAATCTAAAAATAATTTAAAAATGTACGCTTATTTTATATATCCTTTAAATTTCATTTCCTAGTAAGTCATTTTTATTGTATTTTATAAAAGTATTGGTCTGTGATGGACTGGAAATTGAAGACAACAACTAAGTGGTCCTCACATTTATCCAGGGAGCACTGAACTTGACCAGAAACTAGAGTGAGAGGGAATCTGCCTGGCACTTCTCAGGCTACCATGTGCTTTGCCTATATCGCTGGTGCTCAGCCAGCTGCGGGGGATGCACTGAGATGACATCCGTAACCTCAGCAGCTTCTTTCTGAGCATCCAGACCACTGCTTAGCTCTGGATCTGACTTTAAGGGATGATCTTGCTTTGCATTTGTCACCTTTCACTTTGAAACCTAAGGGCAGGTAGCACTATATGGACAACCTAACAAAGAGAGTAAACATTTTGAAATGTCAAAAATATAAAGAAATTACTTCTTCAAATCATGTTTTGAACTAGGAAAATATATTTCCTCCCCCCCCCCCCTAAAGAGATAGAAACCCTGGCTGCTTTGAAAATGCTGAAGGCTGGTTAACTGTGTTTCTGGATAGCTACCTGTAGAAAACACCATAGTGTTCTCTAGCAAACCTCCAAGCTCTACCACTTTCCCATATACACATCTTTGATCTCATATTCAGGAAATGGGAGCCCAGCCAGAGTCCATGTAGCCACAGTTGCCAGTATAACTGGGGGTGGGACATTTAGATCTCATTTCATTCAAAGCAACAAGAGGGAATCAGTACTGGTTTTTTTTTTGTTTTTTTGTTGTTGTTTTTGACTAATTGTAAATACTAGAATAGAAAAAAAAAGCAAAGTATGGTAATGGGAGTGAGACCCTCCCTGGTGGCACCAAAAGTAACTTTTTTTTTTTTGCTGAGCCATCCTGCCACCTGTTGGCAGCTCAGCGGCAACTCAGCTTGGGCTGGGAATCGAACAGGCGACCCTGATGCTCAGAGCTCGCACTCTTGAGTGAGCTCTTAACCAACTGAGTCACTTGGCCAGCCGAGTAACTTTTAATTGACCAGAAATTTTGATTTATTGGTGAGACTCACTCTCCACCACACTTGCTTCCTGGGAACAACCATGTAACTTAGAGCCAGAAGGATTGCCAAGCAAAACAACTGTGGAGATTCAACATGGCTATGTATGGCTAGCACACATTTTCATCTTTACAGAATTTCGCTTTTGAAATAAATTTTGTCTCACTGCTCTTATTTCCATTATTTTTATATCAATGATGGTAAACATTTAGAAATTTCTCCTATTGCTTCTACAAAATATCTTCCTTAAATCTTCTAAATGTTAGAAACTTGTCAAACATTTCTAAAGTTTTTAATCACTCCTATGATATCTTACCAATCAAATCAATTTTTTAAGTTAAGAATTATCGAACTATTAACCATATTTGTTCTTTTGCCCTTAAAACTGTTTTATACACTCGATATTCAAAATGAGCACCTTGCATAGCCTTAACAGAGTTATCTGGAAAGAAGCCTTAAACTAGTATTATGGGGGAAAAAAAAGTTTAGTGTTTAAGGAAGTTTTTTAATGTGAAATCAAAAGTAATCAAACATCACCGATTTCCAAATTTGGTTAAGAATAAAACCCCTAAAAAAACCCCTACCTCACTATTCAGAATTGTAAGACGGAGCCATTTAATGACGGCAATTAGATAACTGCCCTATCTTACTCAAGGCTTATTTCACCAAAATATGTCTCAAGCTCATGTTCACTCCTCTAAACTCTCTTCCCTTTTTCCCTCTCCCCAAGTAAAAGAAACAACTTTGAAAGAGAGTTATAAATATAGATAAAATACTTCCATATTGTCTTTTAGGGATCTCCAGAGAGATTTCTGTATGTGTTGCCTAAATTTAACTATGAAAACAAGCATGTGATAATTATGTTTATTAGGTAAGCATTCTTTAATAGTTTGGTTTATTCCTAGTTTCAAAAAGACTCAGGCTCCTTTACTATAATAACGTAACATAAATAACAAATATGACTAGGAATTTGTAGTTTAGGTAAAGTATCAGTATCTGTGAAAAATGATAAAATGCCCAATTTTAATGACGAGTGTAAAGCAGAATAGCACCAATTAATGAACCAAATCATGGTACAGCTGATATTAAGAATTGAGTTTTCTGATGTGGCCGGTTAGCTCAGTTGGTTAGAGTGCAATGATCACAACACCAAGATTGCCAGTTCGATCCCCACGTGGGCCAAAAAAAAAAAATTCAGTTTTTTAAGTATCAATTATTTACAGCATATCACAGGATAACTGTTTGGTAGAAATAATGTCAATACTAATATTTTTCTTAATTTCAACCTCTGGATGAAAAAGCTGCTCAATAAATCAATATAGATTTGAAAATAACATTTCTGTAAAGTGTCAGATGTATTTAGGTCTGGCCACTGGTGG